CCGCCCCCGGCCTCCCCCGCGCCCCGCACTCCCGCCTCCGCACTAGTGATTGGATTTGGCATATCTGACGATCTAACTCGATCTTTGGTGGACGCCTATCAGCAAGATCAAGTTATGTCTGAGATCATTCGTAAATTCAAGAGAAAGATAAATTAACTTCTGACGAATTTACGATGGTAGACGGCTTGCTGTTTCTTGAGAAGGCAGGGAACAAAAGACAGTGTGTTCCAGATAGGGAGTCTTTGCATAGTTTATTTTTAGGGGAATGTCATGATGCGACTGGCCATTTCGGCTATAGTGCAGAGATTTTGGTGGCCTACTATGATGAAAGATGCAAAAAGATACGTTGAGACCTGCCAGGTTTGCCAACGGGACAAACCTAGGACTCGGGCTCCGCTTGGGCTAATCAAGCCCTTACCGATTCCTGAAGGCCCAGGTCAGAGTGTGTCCATGGGCTTCATGGATACTCTTGTGACCAGCAGGACTGGCAAGAGACACATCTTCGTTATAGTGGACTGCTTTTCTAAGTATGTAAGACTTATCGGTATGTCGGAGACTGCTAAGACTGACTATATCATCAAACTGTTTTTGGATAACTGGGTCCGTGATTTTGGACTCCCTACATCTAGAGTAAGTGATAGGGATGTAAGATTTACCAGCGAACTGTGGCAGTCAACAGCTGAGCAGATGGGCACCAAGCTACAAATGACGTCAGGGAACCACCCTGAGTCAAATGGCCAGGCAGAACAGATGAACCGAGTAGTACAGCACCTGCTTCGGCATTATATTAAGCCAAGTCAGGGTGACTGGGACGAGAAGTTACCTCTCGTCGCCAGCCTGTACAACAATGCTGTGCACAGTACTACTGGTACGACTCCCAACCAACTGCACCTTGGTTGGAGGCCCAGAACTGCACGTGACTTTCTGCTACCAGAAAGACAGCCCACTGCAGCACCTGGCAGCATAGAGTTTGCTGTCAAGTACGAGCAGATGCTGCAGCAGGCCGTCGAACATATTAGAAAGTCTCAGGATGTTATGATCGCATCTGAGAATAAACATAGACGGCCCTCTAACTTTCAGGTAGGTGATAGAGATGGGTCAAATCATCTGAACTGGGTCAGGAGCTGGGCATATCTCACAAAGTGATGCCACAGTACTTCGGTCCTTGGGAGGTCCTAGATATAGTGGGGGATCAGATAGACGGACCTTCGTATGTGATTCACATCCCACGTCACTTACGCACACACCCAGTTTTTCACGCCTCAAAGATGGCACCTTTCGCAGAAACTGCACAGTTCCCTTCCAGACAGTCAATGCTGGCCCCAAACATGGATGGTGAAGTTGACATCGACGGAATTGTGGAGCATTGAGTGATGCCAGTGCCTAAACCGCCGGGCAGAGGCCGCCCTCCTAAGCCAAGAATGCAGTACCGTGTCAGATTCAGACATCATCTGGATCCCAGCGAAGATCGGTGGTTCACCAGAGAAGAACTCGTGCGAACAGCACCTCAGGTTATTGCAGGCTATGAAAGAGAACTCAAGTGTAAGATGCCTGCAGATTAGAAGACTTCTCAGAGGACTATCGAAGAAAAGGAGGGAATGCGAGGATCTGGTTCCTCGGCAGGCCTAAGGGGCCCCTGCTGCAGATGTGCCCGCCCTAAGTGAAGGCGGGCCTAACAAAATCACGAGAGGCCCTCAGCTGTCAATTTCGTATTTGGGGTCCAGGCAGTTTTGACGCGCCAGTTGGTTGAGGGAAACACAGGCTGAGCAGCAAGAGATTCCACGGCCTTCCACGCCTTTCGGAAAATGCAGGCCCTGGGCGAGAATCACAGCCTCATACACAGGCAGTGGGGATGCCCAACCGAACGGGGGGCCAGCAGCAGCATCGGAGGCACAGCCTCCTGGGGCCTACCGGAAGCTTCTGGGCGGAGGCCCAGGCCAGCCAGGCTGCTGAGAGAGGCAGGCTCTTTCCATATAGGAAAGAGCTCGCTGCCTGGCCAGGCATTCGGGCACTTGCATGCTAGCGGCAGCGCTGCTGGAGCGGACGCTCGTGGGCTGCTGCTGGGGCTGAGAGGCAAGGTGCAAGCACGTGCGGTCGTGTGTGAGTGAGGGCGCTGCTGAGTGCAGCGCCATAGCCCAGCCTCCATAACTGGATGGGCTTGGACTACAGTGAGGCGCAGGGGTGGTCTTCGGGTGTACAAAGGGAAGACGTGGGAGTAAGTCTGAGGAGAGAGAGAAGGATGATGATGATGATGATGTGAGGGCACATACCTGGTATTGGCGATGGTCTGCTACGGCCGACATCTTCAAGTACTTCGCTAGCTGCTGACGTCAACAGTTGCATTGTCAATTAGTAGTCTAGTAGTAGCTGTGTAGGGAGTAGGCTGGGCGCCAAGCGCCAAGTAGGGAGAAGGGCCTGGATACATATGTTGGTGGTGGCGAGAGCAAGCTCTCATTGACATTGGTTTTCAGTGTTACAATTCTCCATTGGTGTCATGTTGGTGCAATGCTGCTTTCTGGACACTGTGATACGATCTGGCTTTCAATGTGATTGTGCAGTCTGAATATTGTCATCTCGCTATTGCTCATTTTCCTTGCACTTAGTTTGATTTTTTTTTAATTTTCTTGGGCGCCAAGCGCCAAGTAGGGAGAAGGGCCTGGATACATATCTTGGTGGTGGCGAGAGCAAGCTCTCATTGACATTGGTTTTCAGTGTTACGATTCTCCATTGGTGTCATATTGGGGCAATGCTGCTTTCTGGACACTGTGATACAATCTGGCTTTCAATGTAATTGTGCAATCTGAATATTGTCATCTCGCTATTGCTCATTTTCCTTGCACTTAGTTTGATTTTTTTTTAATTTTCTTTTTTATCTTCAACTCTGTAAGGAATTTTATGGTAACGCTCAGCCAAAAGCTGTTTGCGGTGCAAATTCTACACGACATAGTTTTTTTTCCAGTATTTTTTTTTTCCCAGCTGTGGTCGTTTTTTTTCCAGTGTTTTTGTTTTCCCAGCTGTGGTCGCTTTTTTTCCAGTGTTTTTTTTTTCCCCAGCTGTGGTCGCTTTTTTTCCAGTGTTTTTTTTTCCCCAGCTGTGGTTGCCTGGGACCCTGCCCAGAGGGGTCCTGCCTGGCCGTCTGGCCGGGGCTTGTGTCCAGGCACAAAACCTGTGCCCGTGCGCATCGAGAAACAGCCTAGCCCAACTCTCAAGTTATGCATGTCATCCTTGTGCAGGGGCCATGCTCATTTTATCTTCACGGTTGTCCTGAAGGACAACATCGTGTTGTATAAGTAGCGACTTGCACAAATGTTGTAACGACTGCCCCACTGTCTCCAACATGGGCAAAGTGAATTCTTCATGAAGATGTGGAGTACTAGCGGCTAGACGGCAAGACCCTGCAGTTTATGAGTCATGCTATGGGTGTGATTCATGCGGTGGGTGTGAAGTGAGTCGCACAGGGGGTACTGGGTACCGGAGCACACAGAGAAGGGGGTGTTATCTGTGTGCTTTGGGCAGGAAAGCTTCTGGTGTGCAGGAAGGGTGCACAGCCTTAGGCAAGCTGTGGATTTGCTTTGCTGCCTGCCAATGTGTGGTCATGCTTATTATGGCTGGGACCGCTGGGTTGCATACCTAACATGTTTGGTATGAGAGTTATTGGCAAAGCTGTGGTGCACAACCCGCGAGGCTCTTGTGGGCAGACTCTATACTCATAGCTTAGCTGTACCATGCCCGCAGGGTGAACGAACGTTAGCCAGGAACAAATGAGTGGTGGCATAACTGGAAGTTGCCCACTCTCAACGTGGTGAGATACATACACCCTTGAAAAACTGTAGTGTAAGGAAAACCTGAGCATTGGTCAAATGCTTGGAGAGTTTCATCGAGATGTCATACAAATCAGAGCTGTGCTGTGACTGCTGTCTCATATTTTTTCGCACATTCCGTGTACGAAACCCAGTCATTCCACCTTTGTGAACGAAAGGTTGAACAAGCCTTTTGATGACGAGGGCGGAATGGTTGAGCCATTGAGGTTGTGTCTTCCTTGTTCTCAAAGGTTTGGAATCTTTGGATGTCTTTTTTCCCATGGGGTAACTTCAGTAGAGTCACAAAAACGAGTTAAAATTGCACTATGGGGCAAGATACAGTTTGCAATTGCACTTCGGGCACCCTACCTGGCCAGAAGCTGGGTTGTATACATTGCCCAAACTGCAATACGAGACTGTATCTTGGCCCAAAGTGGAATTGTGACTCGTTTTTGTGACTCCTGCGTAGTTTCCCCTTTTTCCTTTTTCGTTTTTTTTTTTCTTTTCCGTTAAGAAAATCGCTGACACTATGGAACTGCATTTTGTTTGAATTTTGTTAATTTCGGTGGTGGTTCTCAGGATGTGATACAAATTCTCCGGATCCCTCATTGTGTGGTCCTGGAAAGGGGTTTTGACCGTCCAAACCTTTCGTATGAGGTCTCTATCAAAGACAAAGATGGCCAAGACTCGCTCAAACAACTTGGACAAATCATCTCGAAGCGGTTTGCTGGGCAAAGTGGTATTGTCTATTGCTTATCCAAGAATGAAACAGCCGAGGTGTGCAAGTACCTGAACGCCAAGTGTCGTATCCGTTCAGAGTTTTACCACGCCGGTCTAAGCAGCCAGCAAAGAGTGAAGGTGCAAAACCGGTGGCAATCGGGAGAGGTTCAGGTCATATGTGCCACCATCGCATTCGGAATGGGAATTGACAAAGCTAATGTGGTGAGTTTGTGCCTCAAAAAAATCAGAGAGGGGGAAAGAAGGAAAAGAGCAAAGTGAGTGAAAAAGAACACACAGATGGTCAGTCAATTCTCCACCTCTCACTGGGAACCTTGGCAGCTTTTGTCAACCGCCTTGTAGCTCTTTTACTTTCCCCAGAGAGAATGTGGCGTCACTATTGCCGTACTCAGGCCAACTTTCAGGTCAGACTGTAATGAACCCAGTCTAGTAGATACTCAGCAGTCGTCAATTACAAGTAGTCTCAGTATCTGCATCAGAGTCTCCAAATTGTGAAATGATAAATCAAACAATAACTCAATACCATCTGACGAAGAGAGTGGAGGGGGATCAGACAGAAGAGAAGGTGGAAAGATCACAAAAGAATAAACCCGTCAAACCCCTCTCCTTCTCCGGGCTTCTTCCCTCTCCACCTCAACAACCAGAAGATGATAACAAGTATAGTAGTCCTGATCACACACAGTAGTGCCACGTGGCACTTTATCTCATACCCTGAAGTCACAGCAGGTTTTCCAGCGACGACGTCACCCAATCCCCTACATCCACAGATCCCGACCTTCCTCTTCCCTCGCAACCAGTCACCTCATGTAGACAGCGTGGACAATGCCACGTCAGCAATCAAGACAGGTGGCGAACGCCACATCATCAATGAAGAGATTGAAGACCAATAGCAGCGCCTTGTAGACAAGGAGCAGCGCCACATATACTAGAGGCAGCGCCACATATACCAGAGGCAGCGCCATGTCAGCATGCCACGTAGACCAGAAGCAGCGCCATGTCAGCATGCCACGTAGACCAGAGGCAGCGCCACATATACCAGAGGCAGCGCCATGTCAGCATGCCACATCAGCAAGCCTGGCGTACAATGCCAGTGTGCTGCCTCCACCTCATGTCGTCGTCCGCAGCACTGATGCACAGTCAGCTTCTAGCCAGCGTCGTGCTAGCATAATGCCAGCGTCTAGTCAAAGTCAAGCCAGCATCGAATCAGCATAGCAAGACTGAATGCTGGACTGGCTCGAGGTCAGCCTTATGTAGCAGTCGTCGAGGCTGTCTGGCCTCGGTTGCCTTTCCCCCAGTCGTCCAGATTGACTCACATCTCAAGGCCTGGATTGTACAGTTGTAGACTTCTCCCTTGGACCTGATGCTGTCTGGGTACCTGCATACAAACAAATGTGTGTGCTTGACCTGCGGCCTGGGCTAGGTACCTTTGGACTTTGACTGTTGGGTGGACCGACAGTTGACCGAAGTCAACTGTCACATGCCCAGGCCCTGAAATCGTGAAGGGCCTTTTCTGCCCTTCTTTGGCCTGGGCTGAGGGCGGCCAAGTAGGCCTTCCGATGGCCCTCAGTTCCACGAGACATATGGCATGGGTTATTGCAAGACAGCGGCAGACACAGATTTGATGACGCTGTGTTCTAGTAAAGGGGAAGATGGTGGCAGTGTACTAACTTTGGTAAGTTCTTGTCCATGGGAATTTGTCGTTGCTGCAAATTCTTGCAGACCAGGTTGACTGTAGCTCTTTTCTTTTCTTTTCTTTTTTTTTTTCTTTTTTTTTTTTTT